CTGTATAGGTGGGCAGATATATATTGGGGAGTTAATGGGAGAAAGATTGACTGCTATTTTTGTCTCTGATTGTCAGTTATCTGCATGTGCTCAGCACTAGTCTTGGGATGGATGAGACCTGTTCTGTTGGGTTTTTTATAGATTGCCTTGAGTTTACCCTGTCCAGAGAACTCAGGCAGCCACCCAGCCACGAGTTGCAAGGTTGACAGCTGCAAATTTTAATCTGTTTCCTGCAGAAAGGTTGCATGTCCTGCCAGAACAGTAGCTGGAAGTTCCATGTTGTTACCTGAGTAGGGCAACGCGACTGATATACACGGCTTCAGATTTGGGGGCGCGGATGGTGTCAAAAGTTGCTGCCCCCTTCCCTCTCTCTTTGCCATGGGTAAACTGTCCTGCCAGTTGTCTGCGCTGAGATCTTAAGCTGGGGCAGGGAGATTTTGGGAGAGAGTTGTGTAGCTTTTTGCGGCTTTGTTTGTTTTGTTTTTTTTTTTTTTTTTTTCTGGAAACGCTGCTTTCTGAACGGGCTGGCTTTAGCCCCGCCCGCTAAACTCTGCAGGGGTGGGGTAGTCACCTGAGTGGTCCCACAGGTCCCATGGCGAGAGCCTTAAGATGCCCGTATTTTCCTTAGTAGCATGATTTTTCAAAAATGTAAGTTCGGGAGATTGAAGTACTAGATCTTAAGATAGTTTGGAAGCTGTAGGTTTGCAATATGAATGTTTCCTTCGTGAGATACCCCTCCCTTCTCACTGGAGCGTTCCCTACCTGGCTCCCCTGGCTGCAGCCTGGAACCCACAGTATATGATTTTTAATTATTAAAATAAAATTCCCAGGCCCAAAACTGAGAACGCAAGATTCTAAAATGTGACATTATAAAGAAGGTAATCTGGTGAAAAGACAGGACTTTTCTGTAGCTGGCATCTTCTCCTTTCTCTGAAGGTAAAGTTTGCAATTGCTGAAGTCAGTTTTGTAATTTAAAATGCATAGCTGGGGTTGAACAAGTTTCCTTTCTTCCTTTCATAACATCAAAACACTCTATTCATGGAAATGGAATGTGTTGCTGT